GCCCAAGCTCTTAATTCTAAGGCCAGCTTTGACACTTCCTTCCTCTGTGACCTTGGCCACATCATGAGTAGCTAAATTTCCAGATGTACCTGCAGATTCTGGTTGCTTCCATGTGTGTGTACAACCTGACACACTGTCACAGACCTATAATTCCAGTAGCACTTAGGTGGGAAAATCAGGCCCTATGTGGCTCAAAATGGGTGCCTAAAATGAGTGCACACCTTTGACAACTTTGGTCTTAACCCATCTTCTTTGTGTAGATAGTACTTAGTGACCAACTTAAGGGTCTGCAAGGGTTACAACCAGTTAATGTTTTTTAAAGTGTGAATTATTATTAGGCAAGACTGGAATATGCCAGAAGGGCAGGAACATGAGAAGAATGGGACAATGAGAACAGGAGAAGAATCAGGGGGTTGTAACCCTTGCAGAAAGAAAGAAGGAAAGAGCGAGCGAGCGAGCCCTCGCTGGAATGATCTAGTTGGGGATGGTCCTGCTTTGAGCAGGAGGTTGGACTAGATGACCTTGTGAAGTCCCTTCCAACCCTAATTTCCTGTGTTTCTATGATTCTAAGAAACAGCTTAAAACAATAGAAAAAGGAAGCAAAATGACAGCTTAAATATTACAGGAATGGGTGTATCGTAAAACCAGTTAGGTAGACAGGCAGGTGACAAGAACGAGCTGGGAATGGACAGAATGGTGCATGGAGAAAAGGAATCAAGGAAAGTAACTAGAACAAATACATACAACTTGAGGCTAGTGAATTAAAATGAACTATGACCCTTTATTTTATTGTATTGCATCCATTAGTATTCTCTCTGTATGTCTAAGTCAGGGGTAGGCAACGATTTTTGTCCGGAGTGCTGAAAAAACCACAATGTCTATCTTGGAAGGTGCTGGAGTGCTGGCATGCCAGAAAAACAAAACTGGGGGGGGGTGTACATGGGAGGATGCACTGCATATAGTATATTTAATCATCATATCATCATAATTGTTGCCTTTGTCGTTGTGTATTCTTTTTTTGGTGAGCATGTTGCAATGAAAGAGATAGAAAAAAGACAAATAAGAGAAAGAGGAGAGAGAACCAGACACATACACACGCACACAGAGAACCACGTGCACAAACACAGAGAACCAGAACACACCCAGAACAGACACATGCACATGCACACACACATCCGGAACCAGACATATGTGTGCGTGCACAGACACACAGAACCAGAGAGAGGCAGACAAACACACAGAACCAGATGCATGGGTGCACAGAGCCGGGCTCCTGGGCTGCTGGAGAAAGTCCGACCTAACAATGCCCTAGTCCTGCCAGAGCCCCCGTGCTTTCCCAGGGAGCCAGCCCCTAGGCTGCAAAGCAGCTGGCCAAGGTCCCGGCCCAGAGCCTGCCCATCAGCCCAACCACCCACCCACCCCACATAGCTAAGCCTGCAAAAGGTGCAGCGCTCCTGGCAGGGAGAAGCACCAGCCTCATCCTGGTGGGGGGCTGGGTCGGGGCTGGGCTCAGAGCAGGTGGGAGTCAGGGGGGCTCAGCTGCAAGCCCTGCTGCAAGCAGCCTGGGCTCTGTGGTTGGCAGCAGCTACCGGAGCCTGCACCAGCTGCAGCTGGGAGGTTGCAAACAGTGGCTCCAGGCTCCAGATCAGCTCCATACTGGCGGGTACACGTGCGCCTCACAGCGGATGGTGGGAATAGGGCCTGAGGCAGCACAGCCCTCCTGCTGTCCACTCTGAGGTGCACATGCAGTCGCTGCCAGCATGGAGTTGATGCCAGGGCTGTGGAGCCTGCTGCAGCTGCCCAGAGGCCAGGCTGGCTACAAAACAGGGGCGTTGCTGCGTTGGGCTCTGGAGCCCAGTCATCAGCTGTGCTGCCTCAGGCTGCTCCCCCACCATCCACTCCAAGGCTCACGTGCACCTGCTGGTATGGAGCTACTGCTGGAGCCCAAAGCAGATGTTTGCAGCTTCCTGGCTGCAACTGGCCCAGGCTCTGGGTAGCTGCTGCCAACCACAGAGCCCGGGCTGCTTGCAGCAGGGCTTGCAGCTGAGCCTGCCTTATTCCCCCCCGCTCCAGCTGCCTAAAGCTCAGGCTGGCGGTGATGTGCTGAGCAAAATGGCCTCGCGTGCTGTGCTTGGCACACGTGCCGGGGGTTGCTGACCTCTAGTCTAAGTGAAACGGCTGGGATGGTTACTTTTTGCATTGATGTTGTTGTATTATCATGGTCAACTGTGGAGTTTATAATGAAATAACTGGAGAAAGAGAGACAGAAAATAACCTGAAGCGCACAGAACTCCTTTGACAGGTGGAGCTCAACATTTCCTTCACAGACTCCACACCTAAAAAGACTCTTCCTTTCAAATTTATCCATCCAGGCACAAGCAAAGTAGCTGGGCTGTTCTCTGTCTGAAGCAGAGGAGACAGGAGAAGTGTCAGCCTGTATTCAAAGAGTCATTTAAGCTTTGAAGGGCCCCAAAGAATCTTCCTATGGAGCTTCATTACAATCCCCATACTATTCTTGTGCACAGTGATGTGATCTTGATATGCAGGACTGGACTGTGTGGAGGAAGTACTTTTTTACACAATATCTAAATAACTGGTAGGACTTATTGCCAGGGGATGTTGTGGAGGTCAATAGTAAAACTGTTCAAAAAGGGATTAGACAGATTTATGGAGGACAAGTCCATCAGGGGTATTAAACACAGGGATAGAACCCTAGGCTCAGAACATCCCTAAATCTATGACTCCTGGTGACTGAGAGGGTATGACATGCCCTATTTCTTGCACTCTTCTAAAGTACCTGCTATGTGTTACTGTGAGAAAACAGGATACTAGGCAGGATGGATCTCAGTCTGACCCAGCATGGCACCTCTCGTGTTCTTCTGAAGATTATGATGAGAAAGAATTGAGAGGGAGGGCCACAAACTATTTCACAGTGCAGCTCCAAAATGCTATGATCATCTCTGAGAAGGTCCATGCGTTCCACAGGGCATGGGGATGGTCTCTAAGCATACAAGAAACAGAGAGTATCATTCTCAGAATCACTCCTCAAGTGCAACAATTCTAGGGATAGAGAAAAGAGAAGAGACAAACAGGACAGAATAACAGACCTCAAGAAAGAGACAGACAGAGAGACAGATGGTCTTTCCAAAGAAAGACTTTTTTAAAAGAATGGAAGCTACAAAGAAAGAAAAGGCTGAGGTTGAATTTGGTAGAGAGATGGAGATTCAGAATGGTGTGGGGGGAGAACCAGAGAGAGCGGAAGGGAGGGGGCAAAGTCCGAGGTGCTCTGTTAGCAGGTTCAGAACAATCTCCATTCTCTACAGCGCTTTCTGTTTAAAAAAATAAAAAAGGAATGATGGAGAAGGGGAGAGAGTCAGACAAGTTTAATGATGTGTGTTCAAAGCTCAGATTGGAAAAATGACAGAGAAAAGCAGCCTGTTTCGGCTCTAATAAATTGTTCTTTGCTGTAAGAGACGCCTGTCGCAGCATTAATACAGGGCCCTAATACACGGGTCAGGGTTAAGTAATTTTCTCCGGCAACTTAAGCGAATAATGAAGCTGGCAGCGGCTAGTGGCGCGGTGGGAGAGATGGCCCAGGCCGCCGACACTTTGTCTTCATTTATTATGCCAGCTCTCATGATTTGGGTACCGGCTGCAGCTCTGGGAAGCCTCCGCCGAGGAGATATCGCTTCATTTCGGCGAGGTAATGAAAGCTGGGATGGGGGGAGGATAAACCAATTTGCTGGCTGACATGGGAAGGAGTGATTTGCGGACCTGAGAGAGGGAGGGGGTATCCAAGTGAGAGGAAGCACCAAGGCTAAACTAAGGGGGGTGCTCAAGGCCCTTCCCTGAGATAATGGCACTGAGTGTATGTGAGGAGGGCAACAGACCAGGACTGAGGGGGGTGGGTGGGGGGAGGAGAAGAGAAGCAGAAACCAGGGCCAAAGCAGAAGGGAAGGAAGGAAGAACAGAGGCAAGGGCTGGTGTGGAGAAGCAAAGACTGAGAAAGATGAGAGAGGAAGGCAAGAGGAGGAAGGAGCAGAAAGCGTAGATAAAAAGGCTGACTGAGGGGGAACAGACACTGGAGAAGTAATGTGGAAATATGGAAAGATGGTTGGAGGGGGGATGAAGAAGCAAGAGCAGAGACCAGGGATATATGAGGGAAGATATGGAGCAGGGTCAAAGTGAGAGAAAAGGAGAGTTTAAGGGAGCAGCAGAGATTAAGTCAAAAGTGGGAGGAGTATGCATGGTGATCCAGGACTCTGCAGTTCATGAGAAAAGGAGTTCTTCATTAACATCTCATCTGGATCAAAGAGGCACAGAGGTAGACACACTGGGATTTTCACTTATTTATGGAGATGAATTTAAAGTTCACTCCTTGGAAACCACATCTCTTTCTTTGTCTCAGAAAATTTCAGAATCACTGAACCACTCCCATTCCTCATGTGTGGATGCATAGCAATGCACACTGATCTCTGCCCCCTGCATTTAGAGTTGAGGGGTGGACAAAGGGCTTCAGAAACCAATGGCGGGCAGGTATCCAAACTTGAACAGATTAGGAAGATCTTATGATTTGTATGAGCAATACATGATCCTGAGGGCCACACAGTTCATTGTGATGCTGATGTTCATCATAAACACAAAGAATCTAGTTTAAGCACCACAAAGACATGAATTTTGAGACAGAATTTGAAGGTAGAGATATGTCTGATCATGGCAGGAAGGGGAAGTGGGACATATAGAACTACATGTATGGTTCTACATGGAACTCCTTTCTTGGCCCTGTCTTCCAATACACCCCACCTCTCCAAGTTCCTTCTTTAGTGAGGTTTTTTAGCCATAAGGGACTTTACAAATTAACTTTCAAGACATAACTCTCAAGAGTCAATGCTCCTCAAGACAGAGCAGGTTTATTCTTTACACTCTCACTGATGCCCAAGATGCCTGCCCCTAGCAGTTCTGAGTGTCTCAATGTCAAGAACTACCCCTAGCATTGTCCTCTTCTTTTCTCACCTCTAGATGGTATGTTCTCTCAGGTGGGGAACCATCATTCATTCTGTAAAGCACCGTACACCTCTATGGCTCCAAGAAAGTAATACTGCAGATAACAATGCAGGGAGAACTCCATCCCTGAGGCCATACTTCCCATTCCCTTCTACACCAGTTGCCGCAGCCTCAGATCTGCAAAAAAGAAAAGAAGGAGCAGACCCTCTTGGAATGAAGAATAGGAATTTTACACACACCCCCCCTCCACACTCTTCTCCCCACTCCCTCATGTGGGTTAAGGATTTCCAATAAGGACCAAGTGTTGGAGGCTTAACACTGCAGTCTCTGGAGAAGCAGGCCAATTTCACACTAATCTTCCCCATGAAGGGAGAGAGCATCGGAAGCAAGAATTACATCAAAGAGAAGTTAATGCTGAGAAGCAGACGACAAAAAGGAGCTGCTTTCAGTTTCAAATGAATACACACAGCTGGATTAAGAGATCAGGCTGTTCAATGCCTGTATCACAAGCTTTGGTACCCAGGACTTAGCCAGCAGGGAGAGTCCTGATCTGGAGGCTCTTTTAATAGGAGAGCAGAGTATTTATGAATAACTTGAGGAGGCAGCTGGCAGGGTGTTTGTGTTTTGGTCTGGCACATATTGACCTCCTCTAATAAATACCAGGACAATGTCAGGAAACCATACAGGTACCTGGCAGGATTGAAAGGGCTCATGCAGCTTACCTAGCACCTCATGCCTTCTTTCAGCCAGCAAGACTAGCTGTTAACCTCTGCTGTGCCCCTAGTAAAGTGCCAGCCAGTCACAAGGCAAAGACTGCAGATGCTCAATTCTCCCCTTCACGATTTCGATCTGGGGCATGGTTGTTGTGCTAAGAATAATTCTGCAGGTCCTAAGGCCCAAGCAGCCCTCTCCCTTGCTCCAGGACGTGAGCCGGCCTTTGGATTCCCTAGCTAAGGACACTGAGCTCCCTGTAATGTAAAATGTGAACTCGAAGGAAGAGGACAGCAGAGGGTGATTGTAGCAATGTGTGTGTCCCAGGGAAACATGTCTCTCTTGTCCCATTTTAAGTGGTGCTGAAGTGAGCTCCACTCCTCCCCCTACTCAGAAGCTGACAGGTGTAAATCCCAGGATGAATGAAGGCACGGAACCCTATAAAGCTGGTGTCTCTCCACGCATCTCCGCTCTGATTGACTTGTCGGCTCTCTGAGGCTGACTCTATCAGCTCCTCGCTGCCTCCAATTCCAGGTGTGATTTAGTTTGGAGATGAGAGGTGACAGTTAACATTGGTACTCGTCAGTGTAGATCAGACACAGTCACGCTGTCTTCTCCTAGCTCTCTCTCTCTCCCCTCCCCACTTCTAATCCCCCACCCTCTGGTATCTCCCACTTCTGTCTGTTGCTCTCATTCTCCCTATTATCATCCAATCCCTTTATTTTTGCCACCCCATCTCATCATCTACCACCCACAAGCCCCACTGCCAAGAACTGTTTTTAGTAAATTCCCCTTCCCCTTTTCTTTCCCCCTTGCACTCAGGCTATCCCCAAGCAACACACTGCAAAGCATTTCATGCAGCAAGCCTCTTCCCTAGAAAGACTAGGAGCAGCTGGTTTTGCTCATTCTCTTGCTTCTGCCCTAGAGCTCAGTAAATAATTCTTAGCACACACACTATTTGCTGAATTTCCTGTTTGTCTGTTCACAAATTGTTCCTGAGCAGCTTACAAGTTTCGTGAATGTATCTGGAAACCATCAAATAATTTCAGAGAATGAATCTAGGCCTGAAGATGGAAGAGAGGTTTGTTGCAGGTATCTGAAATTTAAAATGAGTTTGTTAGTCCTGCTTGGTCATAAAGTCACATGGCACAGTACCCATGGTCTGACTGGATGTCTACCTCAGAAGCAGGTTTCTAGCATAAATGCTAATACATGTGCAACTGTTAATGAAGTCTAGCACGCACTTAAAATTTGACTTACCCTGCAAATGTTCTTACCAGAAGCTGCACTAGATTAACGTAGAATGGGGAGCTCATAAAGAATGGGGAGCCCATAAAGGACAGGAAGTGCTAATGTGATGTGCTTTGGCAGCTAGTCTTCTAACTGGAACATGGGAATCACAAACCTGGATCAGATGCATGGTCTCCCCTGTCTTATATCCTTTCTCTAGTACCAGATTATTCAGTAGAAGATGCAAGAATCTTGCAATAGGCAATGTGGACCCCACTGATCCCATGATTCTCAACCAGGGTGTGTTAGGTTGTGCTAACATGGTTCACAAGATAAACCCAGGGATCGGGTTTAAATAGGCATCCATAATGTCAAAAACATTCTGACCTATTGTGGTCTTTCTGGGCATCACATTTTGAGGAGGAGGTGAGCAGCACTCAGTGGTGAAAGAACAGGTTAGGGACTACCTAGAAAAGCTTGTTGAGAATCATGGGATCAGTGGGGTCTACATCGTCTATTGCAAGATTCTTGTACTTTCTTCTAAAGAATCTGCTACGAGAGAAAGGATACAAGACAGGGGAAACCACACATCTGATCCAGGTTTGTGATTGTCAGCTAGAAGACTAGCTGCCAAAGCACATCACATTAGCATTTCCTGTCCTTTACAGGCTCCCTGTTCTTCCAGAGGTCCAAACTCCCAATCTTAACCTTCAAGGCCTTTGATTGTGTGGGACCAAGCTATTTCAAACAGCCTGAACATCTATGACTCTCCTAGCAGCTACATTTATTAGAGACACAGAAACTAGAAGTGCTTCCAGAGAAGATCTCAGGAACTGGCTCTCCAGGGACCTAGCAGATCTCCTGAGGCTAAAAAGAAAGGCCTACAAAGGGTGGAGGATGGGAGTCGCCTCCAAGGAGGATTATTCTGCACTGGTCCGGTCCTGTAGGGAGCAGACCAGGAAAGCCAAGGCTGCAACTGAACTCCAGCTAGCTTTGAGCATCAAGGACAATAAAAAGTCCTTTTTCAGATATGTGGGGAGCCGGAGGAAAAGCAGAGGCAACATTGGACCCCTGCTGAGCCAGATGGGGCAACTGACAACTGACGCATATATAGTGACTAAAATTGCAGACACTGAATTAACTCTGAATAACATATGAGCTGGAGTGACAGCCTTCATGTGGTTCTAGAAGGATGAGAATAAGATAGATGGCTGTTTGTGTAGATGTACTAAACTGCAAATCCAGGGGTCCATAGAGTATGGAAAATATGCCAAAAGCTGGGTTGTCCCTTCCATCCCACAGACCCCATTGATTTCCTGCAGGGCAGGAATCCCCCCTTGCAGAGCAGCTTGCAAGATCAGGGTAAATCCATTTCTAGTAACAGACTTTCTCACGCACCCTACCCACTACATTCACGTTTCTCCACTTAGCCCACCTTGGCATCCTTCTGAACCCTGTTATTTTTCAAAACTATTTGGAGAATAGAGAGTGAGTTCTGAATGCCAGCAAGCAACTCTGCCTCTACTGAACCAAGCGGAGAAAGCAGTTGCACTTGAATTTCCCAATTGCCAATTCTCCTTTTTCCTTTCTAACACCAGAATGGAAAGAGCTTTTAGCAAAACTCTCTCTCTAACTTTAGCGGCTGCTCCAGTACCATATAAGGAGACGGGCCATTTCCAAGATCCAAAATATTGAGGGTTTCAGGAGGTTGAGAAAATGGCGAGTTCATATTTATACAGAAACAAGTGGTATGTCAATCCAAATCACAGAACCCGTGCAAAATGCACTCTCTGACAGGAACGCCGCTAAGCAGCGGCGTTCAGCGCCTCGTTTTTAGGCAATCGTCAGGTAAAGCTCCATCTAGAATAGATTGAACTAAAGCAAGATGACAGGAACTGGGAACCCCCAAATCCGAAAGAAATAGCTTTAGGGATGAAAAAGGAGAGTGTGTAAATAGCAAAAGTAGAGGTACCACATTTTGGAGCCAATTGCTTTAGAGAATAAGTGTGTTTTTAAAAACGGATTAAAATAGATTTCTGCAATGGAGGAGCAGGGAGTGCACAAACATTTTTATTTTTGCTCTCAAGCAAATCCCGGGACGTCATTCTCCCCCTGTACTCGGCCTTAGTGAGGCCGCAGCTGGAGTACTGTATCCAGTTTTGGGCTCCACAATTCAAAAAGGATGTGGAGAAGCTTGAGAGAGTCCAGAGAAGAGCCACGAGCGTGATCAGAGGTCAGGGAAGCAGACCCTACGATGACAGGCTGAGAGCCCTGGGGCTCTTTAGCCTGAAAAAGCGCAGGCTCAGGGGTGATCTGATGGCCACCTACAAGTTTATCAGGGGTGACCACCAGCATCTGGGGGAACGTTTGTTCACCAGAGCGCCCCAAGGGATGACGAGGTCGAATGGTCACAAACTACTTCAAGATCGTTTCAGGCTGGACATAAGGAAGAACTTCTTTACTGTCCGAGCCCCCAAGGTCTGGAACAGCCTGCCACCGGAGGTGGTTCAAGCGCCTTCATTGAACACCTTCAGGATGAAACGGGATGCTTATCTTGCTGGGATCCTATGACCCCAGCTGACTTCCTGCCCTTTGGGCGGGGGGCTGGACTCGATGATCTTCCGAGGTCCCTTCCAGCCCTGATGTCTATGAAATCTATGAACTGGAAGCTAGGAGTTCTCAGTGGTGCACCTTAGCCAACAGGATGCTTTGCAGAGGTGATCAGAAAAAGCTCTGCCCTGAGCATTTTCCAGTTCCAGTGCAAACCCTATTTATAAAAGCCTATTTGCAAAAACAAGAAATCCAAGCTCTAGTGACAAAACCCCAGGAGAACATAAGTAGAATCAGCTGAGACTGAACAACTAGCATTCCTAAAGGCCTAAAACAGATGCCTGTTCACTGGTGTCTTCCCATTGACTCCCTGCAAGGCTCCTCTGTGCCATTCCTACAAGCCTTCTCCCCTTCCAAATCAGTGCAGCACTGAAGTACTAACCAGGTTTCAGATACATCTAGATGGTACAATGTAGTACCACATAGAGATACCCAAGCTAGCTGTGAATGAGCTAGCACAGGTACCAGAAGAGATACAGCCACATTAGCCTCGCACCAGGGTAATTATCCCTGCTGAGAAGCAGGGTGTATTAGTCTAGGTGTGCCTTGATAACACAGCTATACTGTTTTTTTGATACCTGAGCTAGCTCATTCAGACCAGTCTTGGGTGTTTCTACATGGCCCTG